GGGGGAGGGGGGTGATTCTTATCAGGGAAGCTTGGGAAGCACCAGACAAGTGGAATAGAGTTTGTTCAAGAACATAATTGGAGTGAATTTTGAAGAAAATGGTTGAGGATGAGATGAGGTGGTACGAAGGTTATTTTATGTCATGCCTGTCTTTCGTGATTGGTTTTCTGTTTGTATCCTACTTACTGCTGGTTACTTCTCAGATATCAACAGCTACATGGAACTGAGCATTTACTTTGACTTGGGCAACTTTATTTAATTTGAAAGCAGTCTACTGAAAGTTGGACCTCAGATCATTTGACTGGGTTTCTATGACTTATTTATGACCTGAAAAATAGCCAGAGAGGACAGTGGGAATTAGAATGAACATTGTCCATCTACAGGGTTCCCATGACTCTTAATGTTATCTTATTTTATTAATTAGCAAACTGAGGCCCAGAGGTTAATTACATAGGTCACATAACTAATGAGCGATGCAACTGATATTTGAGCCTTGGTCTACAGAGCAGGAGGAATTAGAAGATTCTTTGGAATGGTGAGCAGAGTGCTCATTCACTCAATTAAAATAGGTGAAATAGAAAATGTGGGATGAGGGGCAGGGGCTACAGTGAAAAAGCTTCTGACATTTGTTACTATGTCCACTAATCTAGATTAAGAAGCTATTTTTTTTATACTGAAGTAAGAAAGCAGGCTTTTCAAATCACTTCAGAGGAAGACTTTAAAAACATTATGTTGATAAGATACTGAGAATTATTTTGGCCAGTCAATGTTTATTGATTTAGTTCTACTTGAACAAAGATATTAGCAAACTCCAAAGGACAGAATTTGATAGAGATAGAACTATGTGTTTTTCTTGTTTTCATTACTAGCACATTGAATGCGGGAAACGTATTTATACGTTTTATGTTGACTGGTGGTAGAGCGCGCGATAAAAACTACCCGCAAACAATGTCCTAGTATAAAACAGGTAAGACTGACTTTACAGATATTTTCTCTCACTAATAATAGAGGCTAAATACAGTGTGGGGCAAAAGTAGGTTTATATGCAAGTTGTTTGTATGCAAAATTATGCAATAATAATATAAGAATAAACTCTGTTTCATGTACTCACAACCCTAAAACTACTTTTACCCCACCCTGTATTCTGGGTCCAATATCCAGATACACATATTTGGAAGCTATTGCATTTTTCCCATTAAAAGTAAATTTCTGCTCAGCCCTATCTGGTTTGGCTCAGTGGTTAGAGTGTTGGCCCTCGGACTGAAGGGTCCTGGATTCAGTTCTGGCCAAGGGCACCTACCTTGGTTGCTGGCTCGATCCCCAGCCCTGGTGGTCCCCAGGGGTCAGTGCGTGTGTGGGAGGCAACCAATCAATGTGTCTCCCCCTCCCCCTC